TGTCAATATGAGAAGGTATTAGAAATCCATGATACAAATAAAAATTCATTATCATCCCGAGTTCTTCGTAAATTCGGGTGTTAGTGCTGCATAAAGGTTTTTCCATCACATGAAAGCGTGTGCTTGTCATCATCTACACAAGCATTCAGAGGAGTTGTGTAGACGGAGACACAGGCGGGTCCTCACGACCCATTTCCCTGTCATTTACAGCGTGGGTCCTGACTTTACTGGGGCTTTCACTAAAACACATTCCAGCCCCCATGACTGTGGTGTCCTTGGAGACAGCAGGCCTAGGATGCTTCATTCATAAGAAATCTCAGTGAAACATGTGCAGGTGGGTGCGGCCCACACAAGCAGAACCGCACACCAGCTGGGGCCCTCCCTAGTGAGGGGACGGAGAGTCAGGACGGAGCCAGGGCAGATGCTCAGTCGGGTACCCAGCTGCCACACCAAATCCCTTCCCCTGCTTGAAAGCTAAACAACCCGGGTAAGTTTTTGTGTGTGCTGACCTCTTGGACTTCAGGTTTCCTGAGACACCAGGTGAAAAGCAGATCGGGTGGAAGCTTCTCTCCCGCTCTCTGTGCAGGTTTTGGTCAACCTGGACATGGCCTATGGCACTTGCATGGCATTTGCTGGGCCCTATCCATGCCAGCTTTGAGAAGATCTTGTCACCTGACACCCTAAATGGTGGGGCCAACACTTGCAACCCTGTCCTGTTACACAGTCTTGAACAAAGTCATTGAGAATTCCTGTGTCATGAAACCATGGGGACAGATGCAGCTGCAGGAGTGACACCCGTTTCTTGTGCAAATAATTTCAGGGTCACCTCTCTCAGTGCCTCTCTGTCCTGCTGCCCCCATCTCCCAAGAAACAAGGGAATATGGAGGCCATCATCTGAAGTATTAATATCAGGAAGATAATTTCAGTGAGCTGTACCATCCTAGCCACCCCAGATAATCAGTATGCTAAGTTTTAATTCAAGAAACTTTAAAACAAAAACCTCACATTATACAAAAACTCACACAAAATAGATCACAGGCTGAAGTGTTAAGTGTGAAACTATAAAACTTGCAAAAGGAAACCATAAGGAAATCTTCAAGACCTCAACAGACAGGAGTCCTTAAGACTTCATATGAAAAGAAACATTAATAAATGGAAATGCACCAACATAAAAAAGGTTTTCTCTGGAAATGACCCTGTACTAAAGAGAAAAGACAAGCTAAGCCGAAAACAACTGCAAACCACAGGACAGGTAAAAATACGAACTAAGGAAAAGTCAGCATTTGAAAAACAAACAATTCACCAAGATAATGGGCAGAAGAAGTGACCGGATTTGGGGGACCACGGTTTCCAGAAGGCAGACATCACTGTGCTTACATACACCTCATCAGTTGCGTGCTTGGGACTCTATTTCCAAAGAAATGCAACTACATTCACCCAAAACTCTGTGTGGGAATGTCCACAGCCGCTTTCTGTGCAGTGACCTCAAACCAGAATAACCCACGCACCCCTCAAAGAGAGAGTGGTTGAAGGAACTGCAGGCCGTGTGCACTGTGGAACACCGTGCAGCAGTGAGAAGCAGGGAGCTGGAGGGGACTTGGGATTGCTCACCAGCCTCATGATTGCAAGAGCACTGTGCTGAGTGAAAGGCACGTCAACGTCAAGAGTCCCGTGTCTGGGTGAGTCCACTGGGGCAGCTCTCTTGAAGGGACAAAATGCTAGAACACGAGGAACAGATTTGTGACTGCCAGAGTTGAGGGACGGGAATGGAGGAAGTTGGTCTTGACTGTAAGGGGTGGCATGAGGCACGCTGCATGACACTGACCTGTGGGTTGAATGGGCAGTCAGCTGGCCCACACCACAGCAGCATCACATGAAAGCACACACACACACGGGGTGTGTAAACTGGTAAAGTAGGAGATCTGAACAGGGCTGAACGGGGCTCCATCGATGTGAAAATCCAGGTTGGGATATTGTTGGGATAGTGTCGCCTTTCTAGATTATTCTGTAATGTGCTCCTGTTTGCAGCACTCTACTCAATCACGTGAGTTCTCATTTTCTGTATCTTTAGTGAGAATTTAAGAATTTTCAGTGTGCCACATGGGAAAGGTACCTTGTTGCCATTAAATTTTTATTTCTCTGTTAGCAGCAGATTACAATTCTTTTCACATTTTATTAGTCCACTAGGGTTTTCTCCTCGAGGTATGGAGCCTGTTCAGTCACACATTTTTCTTGTTTTCAGAACTTTCTATACGTTCCAGAGACTAACTTCACATTGGTCTGTTTAGGATCGTCCTTTGGCTGTCCTGGTTTTGTTCATGGAGCCCAAAAAAATCTGTTCAGAACTACAATTTTGCATTTTTAAACGACAGTCCAAGTCATTCTGGTTGCTTTAGAAAATGCATCCCCAGCTGCAATAAGAGGAAGGCTCTGCCTGAGGCCAGCAGCTCAGTCTCAGTGGAGCTCCAGCTGTGCTCCTGCTGGCTGTCCCAAGGCAGTGGACTCACCGAGCCGGCCCCCACCACTGCACAAGCTGGCCTGTGCACTAGAACCCTGTGCACACCTCCCACTGGTTCTGCCTCTGGTGGAAGCCCACGCACTGCAGAGTGGACAGATTTCTAACCTGCTCACAGACTGTGCAGCTCCTCATCTGGCATTTCTGCTCAGGAGTTTCCTGGTTTGTCACCATGGCTCTGGACTTTCTTTAGTGGCTGATAGTGGGCCAACAGAAGAACCCCACTGCTTATCTAAAAGTCTTCTGAGTTACTGGAATACTTTCTTTTCTTCTCTATCGACAGAAGAAGTTAAGGAGGGGATGACAGCAAAGAGATGGCAGTTCCCTTAAGGTCAAGTCACCCTGGGATGGAAGCCTGCTTTAATGGGCCTTGTCTCCCATTAGTGGTGAAAAGACAGAGAAATGCAGGGCACCTTTGAGTGACCAGGAGGAGTTGGGGTGAGGAGACTTTTCCCAAGACTGAATGCCTCTTCATCTCAGCTGAGCACTCCTGGGGAAACTTCTCTGGCCTTTTTGTGTCTTGAACACCTCCTCCATAAAGACAGGCTGCTAACAGGGCAGTGACATCAAACGAGGGTCTCCCCCCGAAGTAAAGACTACTATGAGAAGTCAAAACTTAGAAGGGCATCCAGTGATTTGTAAGTGGCCCATAAATTCTACTGGCTTTTGAAAAGGCAGAGAGCTGCTAAATCTGAAGGGAGTCAGATTTTTAAAGAACTTAGAGAGAAAATAGAAGTCATTAGTGTCAAATAAGAAACCCTTCAATTAGCAATTAAAAATTCAGTCAGAAATAGAAAGACCACAAGAAAGAATAATCTCTTCCACTGCACCACTGAGCAGACACCTCTAGTAAGCACACACATTGTCCCCCAACACTGCCGTCAAGTCCCAAGTGAGCAATAAACACCATACCCAGAACGAGTCACTTGCCAAACACTTTCCCATCTCTGGGCAGGTTTTACAAAGATTTTCAAAGAGGATTTGAACCAAATAGGTTTTGTTTCACCTTGTTAATAGAAGTGGTCCCTTCAGAAGAGTTAACTCGGGGTTACGTACCAATGTCATTCACAGCCATTTGTAACAGGGTCTGTCCCTCAGGTTTCTGGGTAGCCACTTAAAAATATCTGCAGCTGTGCCTCCTCCTGGGCTTCGGGAAACTGCAATGTGAACTGTGGTCATCTGTAGTCTCTGGCTGTCACTTACTATGGCACCTCTGGGCTGGACATTCACACAACCAGGACCCCAGCCTCCAAGCAAGCCCGTCCTCATTGGGAGGTGCCTGCCGGGAGGCTGCTGGACAAGAGTGGGCCCAATTCAGACGCATCCTCTGACCAGTGGGTGACAGGCTGCAAAATGCCTCCCTGAGCTTGTGGGATCAAATATCCAAAACCCCATGTGTTAAATGGTATGCTTCTGAAAGCTTCCTTCCTGAAAAGCCCTTCCTAGCTTAGCTGGAGTGGCCAGAACAGGCAGAAGCAAGGCCTGAACCTATCCATTTACCTCCCCCCACACCAAGGCCCAGCTACATGTGCCCAGCTGGACAAGCGCTGTCCAGCTGGCAGAAAACAAGGGTTCAGACTGCTGTATCTCCTCCCAGTCTTACTGGGACTCCCAAAGAACTTTAAAACTTTGTCCAACCCACCTCTCCACCTTCCAAATCAGGTCTATGGTAGACCCTAAAAGACCCTAGCACCGATATGAGCATGCCATAAAACCTAGAGTGACAGCAATTGAAGGCAGAACACACTCAGGTGGACCGACCTTGGCTCAGGGGCATCACCCCAGGAAGTGCGGCAGGAAGACCTAGCAAGCCGCAGGTAGGCAGGGGTGGGCTGCTGGCTGTACGAGCCAGGCCTGGGAGCCTGGGACAGGCCCGAGAGGGCGGAAGCCAGGCGAGTCGCTTGTCACCGCCCTCCTTACTCAAAGGGAAACTGTGCTTCTCCCTGGGGGGAGGGGCAGGGCCAGGGGCCGCGCGCCAGGCTGCAGGTGTGTCGCCAGGAGAAGCGAGGCTAAGATGGACCCCAGCCCGCCCTTCAGCCGATCACCTGCACCGGGTCCCCGCGTGGCCCCTTTTGGCCGTTGTCACCTCCCGCCCCTAAACTCCTCCCCACCTCTCACCGCCGCCCTAGGCCGCGCGCTGTTTCAGCGACCCCGGGGTCGCAGGGCCTGGCTGGGACAACCTCGGGAACCCCGTCGGCGTCCAGTGCCCCGGCCCTAGACTGACGTGGTCACCCCTCGCTAGGAGGATCGGGGTGAGGACATGGCGAGATGTCCGGGAGGCCATCGTGCTGCCACCTGTCCGGCCACCTGCGCCGCGTGACCCCTCTTCCCACCTCCCCCACCGGCCCAGGAGAGGGACCGGGAGTCCGGCCTCGGGGACAGCGCGCCCCCGCCCGGGAAGGCCGGGCTCCGGGGTCCCCTCCCGAGGGCCGCCGAGACAAAGGCTCCAGGGCCACCCCGCGCGCCCCCGCCAAGGATCACCCACCGGTGCTGCGCTCGTCCCTCCGAGGCCGAGGGCCGTCGCGGGGTCGCTGGTCCCCGGCGCGGCCTTCTGGGGTCGCGGGCCGCCAGGCCGAGGCTCGTCCTCGCTGGCGCGCGGCGGCGGTGACTGACGGCGGCTCCGGGGACGGGCGCGCACCCCGCTTCCCCGCCCCGCCTCCCCGCGCTTCCTGCGCGCAGGTGAACACGCGCCAGCCCCACCTGGACGCCGCGCCCGGCGCCCGGGGACACGCGGGGACAGGCGCAGCTCGGCCCCGGGGGGGGGGCAGGGGCTCAGCGCTGCGACCTGGAGCTTCTGGCCTCGGAAACCTGCTGGACCCGGCCTCGCCCCAGGGGCCTAGACAGCATCTCCACGCCTGGCCTCCACCCCGCCGGCGCGCCGCAGCCAGCAGCCCCACTCCGTTCAGCGCCCGTCCCTCCTGGCCTCCTGGAGTCCCACGATCTCAGCGACTGACCCAGGCTCTGGTCTCCTGGAGGGGAGGCCACCTGGATCTGCAGTGGAGGCACGCGCCGAGGTCCTCCCAGGGCTCCTGGGTGTTGGTGTCCTGGAGAGCCTGAGGGGAGCACTGTCTCCTCCGAGGCAGGCTAAGCCAGCAGGGAAAAATACAAACCCCAGTGCAGGTGGAGTAGTACTGTTCTGCCCCACAGAGGCTGGCCCTCTCCGGTGGAATTCATCACCCATCCCCTGGGCCCAAAGGAAGCCTGCTGTTTGGACATGACCCAGCTGGACACAATGGAGTCAGAGGGATCTTTGAATTCACCAGCCTGGTCTTGGTGGTGTGAAGTAGGGGACAGGAGAGATATGGAATGAGCCCTTGGTTATTCCTGACACCAGTCCCTGTTAGGGATTTAGAGTGTACATTTCAGGGGGCAGCTGGGGACCCACATATTTATAAGGGACACCAGTGTGACCGGGTCCCCTCCTCCTGTCCCCTAGGCCAGCTGGAAAGACATATTACAACCCGCTCTCAGCATTGCCAGCCTAACAGGCTGCTCAGAGACCCGAGGTCTAGCAACCGTGTTCAAACGCTGGTGTTCCTAGGACAAATATCCCAACTACCACATAGCCACCTGTCCCTTCCCCCAGGAGGGAAAGAGCACGACCAGCCTGAGAATTCCAGCCGGGAGGTGAGGAGGGCAGGGGATGGGAGCGGTCATGCCAGAGATGGAGTGTTTCTGCTCTCCGTTTTGCTGCCCTGTAATGTCATGCTTGCGTTACGTAAAGGACAACAGGGTGGGAATAAGTCACACAACGCCGCTGTCTGGAGTCATCCTTAGAGCTCACGCCAGAGGATGCTGGAATTCTGGGTCCCTTTCCACGTTTGTCCGGGAATCGCACGCAGCTTCTTCTGCCCCTCAGTGTCTCCTTGATTCTTCCCTACTTGATGAGCCAGGAAGACTCCATCCTGCCCTGCTGGTGTCGCAGTGCTGGGCATCAGGGAGCCCCTCAGGCTTTTGTCCCTGCGTGCCAGGCTGCCTCTGCTGGTCTCCTGGTGGTTTGTGGAAGCATCACCTAGCCGGCAGTCACCTGCGCAGGTGGCAGACATGCCAAGCACCAGCTAAATCTCCTTCAACGGTGTTTATGAAATTGTACCTGCTTATTTAGTTTCGATATGGTGTTCATGTGAATAGGGAGCCAGACAGTTTTAAAACTCCATAAACTGCAGGGAAAAGGAGCAAGAAAGTGTTGATTATGTTGTTAGCATCGCAGCTGAACAGCAGTTAAAGGTCTGGGCTCAGTGGCTTTTCCTCTCCTCGTGTTAGGAAGAGGACCAGAACTCAAGGACGGGGGATGGAGGAGGTAGAAGCTGCCACCTCACTGTGGAATCAAACTTTTACATAGCAAAATGGCAGATGTTCATTTTGCTGAGTAGAACTGAAAGGCATCGTTTGACAAGTGATGATCAGAGCCCTGTGGTATCCTCAGCATTTTTAAGCAAGTCATGTTGCAATGACCTCCTTCTCTCACAGAACTTCAGATAGCCAGAGGGCAAGGGCGTAGCCTCCTGTGCATCTCACAAGCTAGCAAGCAGGCAAGGGTGTGTGCATGACGGACACCCAAGGCATTTACCCAAGCTCAGTTAGGAAGTAAGTTAGTCCAAATAATTTCCAGTAGATTTCAGGCTGGTTTTGTTTTGAGTTTTCTTTATTTTTCATCAACAGATTTACTTTTGTAGTTATATTTTGTTTATGAAAGAGCTGGCTTCATTTTTATCCCATCTGTAACGAACCATTGGCTGGTGGTTTTGATAATTCAGATGGTTTACCTGTGACTGAGGGCTCATTGTCTCACCAAGCACCCCAGTTAATAACTGGATGGACTCTGGTGGTCACTGGTGACCACCAGAAAAATTAGGCGAGTGAATTTCAGAAAGTGCAACCTTATGTGAACAAGAAAAACACTGGGAGCTATAGAACGCAGCTATAGGTACTTATTCACACACTCACAAAAAACCACTTGCCACTTCACTTCTGGTAAGACACCTGGAAAAAAAAGAAAGAAAGAAAAGAAAGGGAGGGAGGGAAGGAGAGGTAGATAGGTAGATAGGTAGATCAATAGATAGATAGGTAGATGATAGGTAGATAGGTAGATAGATAGACAGAGGCTTGTAGGATTGGGGTTATGTGAGAGAAAACAAAAAGCTGTTCACATTTTCTGCCATCAATTTATTATATTTTTATAAATTTTTACAAAATGTAAAAACATGTATAATATTTTATCTAATGCCATAATGTTATTCCTAAAAATAAAAACATCACTTTTATTTAGCTCTCCATAAAGATCAAAGTCCCACTCCACTATTGAAATTTATGGGCAAGTCTGCATTCAACAGATATCTTACTGTGGTCAGTAACTACTGTTTTTATCGCTTCTAGAATGTCTGTATTTCCCAGTGTGATCTCTAACTGTGTATGCTGCTTTTCTGTAAACCTCATTAATTCTTAGGCCCCTGCACTCACAAGTAGACACTTTGGGATAGAGTTAGCAGGGGAGCCTATATTTTCCAAAAGTGGACCCAGCACTATATCCAACCCCACGTTCCCTTTCCTGTGTGGCTTTGACTCTTGTGCTATGGAGAAGTGTGGTCTGTCCCCCTCCTTCTGAACTCAGGTGACACTGTGATTGCCTCTACACACATGACCGTCTCTCTCTTGGACATTCACCTTGGAACCCAGCCACTATGCCTTGAGGAATCCCAAGTAGTCACATGGACCAGACACACAGACAGACAAAGACACACACACACACACACACACACACACACACACACACTCCGGGTGGACGCCTAGGTGAGACACTCAGCATTGGCCTCTAGATGCATGAGTGGACAGCCGGCAGCTGCTTTCTGCCTTTGGGCCTCCCTTCCCGGCTGAGCTGTCAGATGCCATGAAGCAGAAACAGCTGGCTCCCTGGGTGCTTTCCCAACTCCCAGCCCGCAGCACAGTACAATGGTTGTAGCTTGAGTCGGCTAAGTTTAGGGTAGTGAACTATGCATCACCGTGGCTGGAGGAGTCTGCTGGAAGGATAAAGGAAAGGATGGGGACATGGAATGCTGGGGGTCTGTGCCACTGCCCAGCTCATGTGCTCCATGAAGATAAGCAGGAGCTCCAAGTCCAGGAAAGAAAGCACCTTATTAACTGACAGTCTTCTTGGCAAGCATGTCCGTCCTTCATTCTTGTTTACCACTCACCTATTACTTAGTCAAAAGTGTTTATTGAGCACTTAAATACGGTGTACCCTCAAGGCGCTTGGAGCCATGGGGCCTAGGCAGTCCAAACCAGAAGGGCGGGCGGGAGGGCCATCCAGGGGATCCTGCAGAGCTTGGAGTTGTGAGCCTGGGAGACATTGGCACAGGGAAGCATGGCCAGCAGAGGGAGCCCTTGAGCACAGCGGCTACTTGAGAGAGGGGACAGGCAGGTGAGGCAGAGGCTGGCCTGCTGCCCAGCCCCAGGAACTGATAGCAACACAGCCACCATCAGAACTAATTGTGTTGCCTACTTTGGCATTGTGATAACAACAATGCCCCAGAGACCAACTTAAAGGAGGAACAATTTATTTCAGTTCACAGTTTCAGAGTTGGTCATGGGTCTAGACTGTTGATTCTGGGCCCATGGTGAGGCTGTATGTGGTGGCAGCAGGAACATGTGGCAGAAGCTACTCCACTCATGGTGACAGGAAGTAGAAAGAGCCACAGAGAGGGGTCCAGGACAAGATACAGCCCCCAAGGGCCCACCCCCAGTGACCTACTTCATCCAATGAGGCCCCACCTCCTAAAGCTTCCAGAACCTCCCAAAATAGTGCCACCAGTTGGGGACCAAGCCTTTTTGGGGACATTTCATGTCCCAACCACACCAGCAATGTTTGTCCAACATGTGCCTCGTGCTGGGCACTTTGCCTGCGCTGACTTACTTGCAGCAAACCTGGAGTCCATCCTTTGGTGACGTTTGCGATTCAGGTGAGGCACCCGAGCTCAGAGGGTCAGTGACCTGCTTAGCAGCTCACAGAGCCAGGGCAGGGACTGGGGCAGCAGACAGCATTTCCCCAAACCCTGCAAGGGAGGGGGCCGTCATGGGCTTCGTGAGGCAGGTATTCCACTCCTGGGGGTCTCATAGCTCTGAGTCCTGCCTCCCTGAGGGCACCCTGTGCAGGCAGGTGTCCAAGCATCCCTGAAGGGGGCGCCCATCACCCTGCTAGGGAGCCTGGGAAGGACCACATGGGACCCCACCCCGTGACCCCTTAGCCATCTGAGCCACTTTTCCCAGGCATTCCAAGACTCACAGCTACACGCATGAGGAAAGGCCCCCACCTTTCTAGCCTGATGGTCCTTCTCCTTTCTCTGCATCTGAAGGACAGCCCACCGCCATGTGTCATTTCTTAGCTGTGTGGCTGTGTGATCATGAGTGAATGTCTAAACCTTTGTGTGCCTCAGTCCTGTCATCTGTAATGCAGAGTTAATTGCTGTCCTTACCTCGTGGCTGAATTGCTCCCACAGCTCAAGTGCCACCCACTCCTTGGTGGGCGAGGTCTTGCTCACTTGTCCAGTCGTCCATCCACGGCATTTCTGAAAAATCCTGGGCTAGCTGTGAAGATGTTACCTATACACACGTTGCTACAGAAACAGGAAATGCAGTTCACGGGACTCAGGTGCCACTTGGAGGGCAAGTTTGTCAGTGCGGGCAAACCTCGGGCAAGTGTAACAAAGTGCCAGAGGCCAGGGGCTTAGATTATAGACAAGTGTTTCTCAGCGCTCTGCAGGCTGAAGATCGAGGAGGTGGCAGTTTTGGTGTCTGTTGAGGGCTGCTGCCTGGTGCCCAGATGATGCCTCCTCCATGTGGCACTCACCTCCTCACGTGGGGAGCAAGAGAGATCATCTAAGTGTAGTCAGCTTTCAAAGGCCCTCCCTTGGGGCTAGG